CCCAAAATGTCTCGGTACGCTGAAGCATCAGGAGTTCCTCTCACCTGCCCCACACCACAAGCCCACTTCCACTTGGCACAATGCAGCCAGACTAGTACCACTACAAGAACAGATTTCAGGTCGTTGTGGAGGCTGCGTACCAGGACAGATTCAAATGTATGATCTGAGTTACAGATGATTACGGGCTGTTCCCTGCAATCCTGTTATTGTACTCTAATCTATCGCCTCCTGGAGCTGCCCTACTCGCACAGATGTTCCTGTACACTACGCCGCCCACTTGGTTATGGCGTTCCATGTACGCCCTGCTGCTAGCATCTTGCAGCCTGCTGATAAGTGCTGGATTGTCTCAATCTCAACCTGGGATTGATTCAAGACTTGTTATTGGGCACCAGCGCATCAAAATGCTCCCTAACTGCTGATGTTTTTTGAGATTCTCCACGCAAGCTTCATGTGCTTAAAATCTCCGTGCAAGCTCGTGATGATCCTCAGAATCACCTCAGATCCAGTTCATGCAAAACTCATTCCCGTGTGTTTGTGACAGCTTGGATCCCATAACGAGACAGTGATGTCATTTCAAGGACACGGGCCCTTGTTTATCTTTTATCACGTGATCAAAGATAAGACCAATAAGCAGCCTCGACGTGGGCTTCATCTGGACACGCCCCTCAATCAACACAGGCCTCAGGGCTTTAACATTACCGCTTCACCTGCCTGCCCACCCTCCGGTGCTTTGACCCCGCCTCCAACTTCCCACCGTGCAGACTCTCACCTTCATATACCAAGTAAGCAATCAGTCACATCTCAGCTGTGGATAGTTTTGGGATTTGTTTTGTGTGAAATCTTTGTGAAAAGCATGGTCTGTACTCTGTGTGTGTGTGTGTGTGTGTTACAGTTGCTACACAGCCAACTGTAGCCGATTAGAGCCTGCGAGACTCAACTTTGCTAATTTGAATGAATAAATTGGACCTTTCCTGTGTGTGTCTGTGTGTGTTGATTGTGACTGCAATTACAAAGCTTGCTAGCATGTCTTCACCCTGTGGTCTAAATATGTTCACTTTAGAGCTAACATGACGTCAGGAAAGAAAACAAAAACCCACCAATGGTGCGGCTTCAAAAAGTCCAGAAACAATGGGTGACCTTAAAATAATCACCCTGCTTGCTGAGAGTCAAAAAGGAAATGAAGCTGCATGAAGTGTGTGGAGGATTTTCAGTGAGTGCAAACTGAAGGCTACAGTGTGCTGTAAGCTGCAGGGACGATCAGTCAGGATGAGCTTAGAGAATTAAGGAGCTGTCTCTACCTCTCCTGTTTGGTTCTGTTTCTGTCGTAGAATAAAGGTCAGCTCAATTTAGCACATTAACTATTTATAAACATTTCATATTTTTATATCTGCTTCTCTACACGACTCCAAAACAAACGCTGCTACCAGCAGAGGATAACAGCCTTTGTCAAACGCTATCAAACAGTCTCTAAGCTGCAGGCTGACAGCTTGGATTATTCGGAGGATAAAAGACGAAGGCCGACACGGGAACGTTTGAGTCTTTGTAACAGGACGTTTTCTTAAACAACAACAAACCTCAGAATATTTCAACTTCACGTTAATTATTGAAAGACGAGCATATATCTGTTCACCTACCCAGAGGATGGTGTTTTCTCGTGGCTGCCGCGCA